TCCAGGTGTTTTGGACTTCCACTCCCACCATTCCTAACAGGCCCTTTCCTTTCACCCCTCAGCTCCTCATAGGCTTAAGCGGCTGAGGGGAAAACGGAAAGGGCCTGAGGCTGTTAGGAATGATGGGAGTAGAAGTCCAAAACACCTGGAGGGCCCAGGTTTGCCAGTCTGATTTAGAAGAAATGTAGGTAGGGCGAAATAAATACATACAAAACCAATCAATCCAGCTCTGCTTGAGAATAAGTTAACTAATATATGAATAAAATATACTTGTGAAGAACCAAACTGCTGTGTGGCCTCTTTTGATCAACAGAAAAATTCAGATGAGAATAACATGGTTTGGATAAGTAGTCCTCTTGCAGCTGGACAAAATCCCATGAATGCAAATAAAAATATTCACATTGAATATTTTTCCAGGGAGCCAGGTATCCTAGAATTTGAGCAGCAGTTATAAGACTTATCAGAAAAGGAAGACATACCATATGACTGGCTGCATAGTACAAAACAGGTAATGTGGTATTCTCTGATAAATCTTTTGAGAAATCTGAAACTTGCCAACAAATGCTAAGTCTGGGTATTACTCAAATTCCAAGTTTTTGATGGGTGGCATAAATGTTTGAGTTCTATGTATTAGCCTTGTGGCTTGTTTGGATAGTTTTGGCAATGTGTACCATTCTGGGTCATACCATCCTTCAATTTCTGCTTCCTATGCTTTTAATGGAGTGCACCCAACAATTTATCGTGGTCTTTATATGGGAGCCAGACATTTTGGATTGTTGATCCAGAGAAAACTTACATTAATTCATTGTGACATGTTCTATGAAACACACACTGCTAGCTGGTGGGTTTGTGGGTTCTCATCAACTTTTCTAGTAGTCTTTTGTGGTTAGAAGATTAGCACTGGTCAAAGGCAGGATGCTGGACCTTCCTGGATGTAATCCAACAACCCCTCAGAATAGCATAAATATCTGCATATGGAGAGGTTAAAAACCAGAACTTTACAACCTCCATTCAGAACACAATATTTTGAATGTGGTAGGCACCGCTGTGCAGTGAGATGCAAAGCACAACATGAAACGATTATGTTGCAACTCTACTTCAGTATCAGCAAAATATGCCTGTTGTGCTATGGCAAAGAACCCATGTCTTTGGGGAGGACTGGCAGCTTTGGCTGCCACACTGGAACCCCAGAGATTACATGTGCTTTGTGGGCCACACATTGTCCAACTCAATGTAGGTTAACTGATCTCTTCTCTTAGGAAGGTCTATTGATTTCATTTCAAATTAGTTGCGGTGTTTTGGCAGAAATGTCCAAGTAAGAGTCATCAGTATCTAAGAAAGGCCTCTGAGGACTTGTTAGGAGGTGGCAGGATCCACATTAGATTGGATGAGAGAAGTCACAGGAAGAACATTGTTGCCAGCTGGACACTCCAGTGTTCACAGATCCCAGCTGGGGCCTATTGCTGACCACATTAATATGCGAAAGTGCCAAACCTCCCCCTTGCCACAACTAGGCAGTCTTGTTTTAATAATCCAAAGCTGCCTGTAAACCCATTAAAGGAGAACACAAATCCATTAGCATTAGCTGTTCTCCAACTCTCATCCTGTCTTCCTTTAAATTGTTCCAACTCCTCTAAATCTGACTTTTTTGTCTTGGCTATCCAGCAAGCCAACCATTTACCATGGATGAACATTGGTTAAGGTCAATAGAAGACAAGACCAGATTCATTAAATACTCCCTTGAGGCAGTAGGCTTCAAATACTCATTTTTTTTATCCTATTCATGGCTGATTTCTTTTCTGGACAAATTACATATTATTCCTGGGTGGCAGTCCTGAAGATTGTGTTGGGATGAATGAGCCTGGCTATTAAGGGTTCTTGATCACTGGATGGTGGGAATTTGGGATTAGGGCAATTACAGCTGAGCAAAAGACACCCAGGAGGAGGAAGAGCATGAATCTGGATGGAGAAATGAGGGAAAGGAGCTAAGGAGTAGAGAGAGACAAAGTATCTAAGATAACAGGGAGGGAGGGAACACTCCTAGGAAGCATATATACACCGCCGCGAGTCGCCCTAGGGCTGAGAGCGGCGGTCAATAAATGAAGCAAATAAATAATAAATAAATAAATACTGAAATTCACCTGTATTTGTTTTTAGCAGTGTGTGATAAGTTGATCTGGTTACTTCTATGTGAAGGTTCTCTCCATGTGTATGAATTACTAGATGAGGACAGAAATCTAAATTTCTGCATTAGGCTGTATGTAACTGGGAAAAACCCATGATATTTTATAAGGTAAATGGGCTACACAAATTTGTTTATCCTCTAAAAGAAGATTTCAAACTTGGAAGATTATTATTATTTGGATTATAACTCTCAGCATCTTCTGCTGGCATAGTCATTCTTGCTGGGCATACTGGAAATTGTACTCTAAGAAGAAAGTAATGTTCCCAAGCCATGAATCATTTTCTTCATGTTGAAAGGGGAGATACTTGGAAGAGTCTAGACTATATTTTAACAGTACAAAAATATCTGTCATGTACGATGAAGGATAGCAATAGTTCTGCATACTTCCAGATGCCAACACCACTTCACCCTGCTGTCACCAGTTCAACGCAACTCTACAATGTTGTGCCTGTTGCCTTAGAAAATGAAGCCAGGACAAGCTGAAACGTCCATCACCCTGATTTACAAGAGCAAGTGAAAAGCTGGATAAGCCCACCTCTGGAAAGTGTTAGTAGGAGAATGCCCAAGCGGCCCCTGCATGCGTACGTGCAGGGCTGAGTCTCAAGATGGTAACAGGGGGAGCTGGAAGGATTAGGAGCAACTCATGTTGGCTGCACCTGTTGCAGCATCTCCTATGCCCTTGGGCTACACTTAAAGGACTTGCTCCAGCTACACACCACCCAATTATAGTGGCAGGCAGCATGTACCCGTTGACTCCACACCATCCCATCCCAGCACTTTGTTTGGAAAAAAATGAAGTGTGGAAGGACAGATGACGTCTGGATGGGAGGGGAGCACTCTTTCTCATCCCTTCGCCCGGCTGATCTGAAACTAGTTGGGGAGAGGAAGCACCACAGGGGAAATGGCCCATTGAAATCCTATACTCACTGGGATGGCGGGGGCTGCGATTCCTTCACAGGGTCTCTTATGAAACTCTAAACCCAGTGGAGGGGGGAGGAGAAGAGGGACAGCTGCAGCCACCTCCTGGGGCTGAGTCCATATTTTGCTTGTAACTCAATGGTGGGAGTAACAGGAGGCCAACCACTACACTGTTTTAACATGCACCACAGCACAAAGTGGAAAGCAATAAAGGGTTAAATGTTTTCCCCCAAATCTCTTTCTCCAACTACAGAACATGCCAGCTCATCTGGAACTACCAAGATGAGGGAGGGTTCTGAGGACTCCATCTGATATCTTTTGCCTTGGACCAATCTCTATGGAGGAGATATGGTGGCAGTGGGGCTGGAGGGGGGGGGGGGTCGTGGAATATTCCCACTGGGGCTTTGCTGTATCCTGAGATAGATTCCCAGGCTCGAAAAAGAGTGGCCAGTTGCTGGATCAATTTCAGGGAGATGCTGGCAGCGGAGTTCATGGTGGCTTAAACGGAACAGCGGCTAATATGGAACAGATGGGAAAGTGCTTTGTGCGTGAGTGAGCCAGGCTGGAATGGGAGCTCTACCATTGCCCCCTGTGCCCCCCTCTCCCTTCACTACAGGAGAATTGCACAGGTGCACACATTATGTGTGGAAAGAGACAGCACAGGTGCACCTTTCTCCTTATGCATCTTCCTGAGGTTCAAATCCTCCCATGTATCTGGCATGTAGATACAGAAGCAACCAAAGCTGTAGAAGTTAACATAAATGTGCTCACATGCACAATGTTCTGTCCCCTCCATTGCCACATCTAAGCTAGATCATACTTAGTTTTAGAACAAGCTATTCAACAGCAAACATGACTGAAATAACTGTGCCAGACCATGTTGGCTTTGGGGATGGCAGTTGTAGTCCCATATATCTATAAAAGCCAAGGTTGAGAAAGGCTACATCAGACCTGGGCAGGGTGTGCCTTCTTTTATAACCTCTTTGGTTTCCTTGGCTAATATACTCTTTCAAGAAACTGCAAAGGACTGGAAAACTCACATTTACCAATGCACTTATGAAAATTCTGTGCAGGATCCTGAAGCTTGGATATGAGTGAGGATAGAATGGGTACATGAAAATATTCATACAAATAACATTCCCCCCCCCCCCCCCAAATTTTTCACAATTCAGGGTGTATGCCTTGCATAAAAAGCAATGTTTCCTGTGCAGGAAGCATTGTTTTCATTGCAGAAAATGCTTTCTCTGTGCAAAAAACTCACATGCATTTTGTACCATTTTTTAAAAACTGAATAGCCTTCGACAACTGCAGGTTGAGAGTTTTCTTGCAGTGAGAAGAAAATTGCTAAAGGTCTTCATTCTTGCCTGTTGGAATGAATTTTAAAATATTTACCTAATTAAATGGGAGGCTAAAAAGACTCCGGTGGTGAGAGGCCACCTTTAGTAGAGACACCAGTCTGTCTCTACTAAAGCAGTGCTGGGAGACTAGTCCCACTCTCTCTCTTTTCTGAGTACAATACTTGTATAGTTTAGTTACACCCATTTCTTTCTTTCCTGTCGGTTTTTCTTGGACCAGCAATTAATGGCCTCTGGATTTGCATGAGCCCATGGATCACCCCTGCACACAGCATAGGAGAATGATAGTGACTCCTGGTTACAGACTGTGAACACAAATGTACATGGAGAAAACACGCCCAGCTAAATGATCCATGTGTGTTCACCTTGAGAAAAGGGTTATGTTCAAGTACATATTACAGATCCATTCATGCCAGCCAGGACCCCAAAGAGACAAAAGTTGTCTTTGGGGGAGGGTGTTCCTTCAAGATACATTTCTCCTGCTGATGGGTTCATCAGGGTCCATCCCTGGGAGTAAAAAAAAAAACCTCCAGGCAAGAGGCTCTATTCCAAAAAAATAATTTATGGGTGTGGATAATTCATGTGCATTAGAAATGATATGTACATAAATATTTATCTCTAGGGTTATGTACAAGGGGCTGCAGGAGCCAGAAGGGAAGGTCCATGACCTGCATAAGTTATCTTATACTTCTTGTATGTCCAGATGAAGCTTGTTGGCCTGAGAAAGTTCTTTGGCTCCTGCCAAATAATGGAATTTCATTAAAAATATTATTAAACTGGGAATAATATAAAAAACCAAGCAGGTGCCCCATGGCTGAGGAAGATGGGTCCCAAAGGTTGGGTACAGGCCCACATACAGAGAGAGTGCTCTTCCCCCTGGGATCAGGTTCCTCCCTGCTTATCTGGTCCTATTTCTCCTCAGAGCACAGGCAGCACTCAAGGCTCAGCTAGAGCAAAATCTGCCTTGAGGGAACCTGAGATTATAGAGAGAGCACGGAGGCACCTGCATATGTTTCGCAAGGAAGGCATCCAGTCCTTGGTTGCACATCTCCAGCAGGTCGTGGAAGCTTGAGATGCAGACACTTGGACCTGTTCTTTCTTCCTCCAGGAATGGCATGAAAACTTCTGTCCCAAGCTGTGTGAAATCCTTTTGGAACCAAGATCAGGCACGTGGAGGAAACCAATGCTACCACCTTCCTGGAGTCTGTAGTTTGTCCCTCCTTCCTCATGTCCTCACATTGTGGTAGGGAAAGAGGCAAGGGCTAGCAGGCAAGGGCTCATGGGTAAAGACTGAATCATCGGAGGAGCAAGTGCTGGTTGTGTCCTCGCAGGATGGGGAATATTGTTCGAAGGGCATAGACAGGTCCAGATACTGAAAACAAAGGGAGTGAAAGGATGCTCATCAGCATGCACAGGGGAAAAAAAGATTTAGCTTCTCTGTCAACTGTCCTGAACAAAGGTATTTCTGCACTGCTTTCCAGGTGTTTGAACTTACCTCTTCAGAGACAGCCACTAGGACCTTATCCAATCCCTCCACCAGCTGCTTGAAAGTGGGCCTCTGGGAAGGCACAGCATGCCAGCATTCCCTCATCATCATATACCTATACCGGAAAAGGAATAGAAGTCTCAGCTTCAGAACTCTATCTGCCAATGTATTCTCTGGAGAAAGATGCTGGTCTTAGGATTGGCCTCAGAAGGCATCATGGTACTTACAATTCATGGGTGCAGTTGGAGGGCTTGTCCATGCGGTGACCTTCTCTGAGAAGCTTAAAGAGTTCTTCCACCGGGATGCCTGGGTATGGGGAGCCACCCAAAGTAAAGATCTCCCACATCAGAATGCCGAAGGACCACCTTAAAAGACAATTGGGGTGGAGAGAGAATAAGAACCCACCAAGAACTAGAACATGAATATACTCAGAGAGTTTATGGATGTTACAATGCATGCCCCTCATTACAAGGATACATGCAGCTCAACATGAATTTGGAACAACAGAGATAGCCAATGGAAAATACAGACCACTGAGTATGCCTATGTTATGGATTCTTTAGTACAGGGTGGGCAGGATGTGGTCCTCCAGATTCTTGCAGTAGTTCTAACCAGCATAGCCAATTATGAGGGATGATGAGAATTGCAGCTGAACATGAATAAAATTGCTATTCTTCTTTAGGATGAAGAACTTGTTTACAAGCAGAAAACAGCACTCCGCGTGTCATGTTCACTAGTTATGTGTGTCTGATCATTTCATGCCAGTTATGACCCACCCACTAGGATTAATTTTATAATGCCAGAATCTGAGGGAAATACACAGTGGCAATACTCAGTTCTCCAGTTTTGATTTCATTCTGGGAGCCCTTAACCAACCATTGTAGACTCACACTTACACATCACTCTGGTGGGTGTACACTCTGTCGAAGAGGGCTTCTGGTGCCATCCATTTGACAGGCAGACGACCCTACATGAACAGAAGAGAACCTTGCACTTTCTGTTTTCCAGCGGTATTGCTCCCTCTTCCACCATGCATTTTTCCTTGTACTGAACATTTATCCATACATCAACCCTCTCTGACCTTGCTTTTCCCCACATAATTTTTGATAGTTGAAAAAAGTCTTAACAAATCTCCCTCTTCACCAATACACATAGCAGTGCAAACATTGATGCAGAATCAGTGATGCACACAGCAATAACTACATCCTCCACCCCTGTCCATATCCATAATTTCCTATCAGTACTCTCTCTTCCTTCTTTGCCCTAAGTGGTAAACAGATACTAAGCACTCCTACTCCCCCTCCCCCTACCATCAATGCATCTCACTCACATTGCTGGTTTTCTTGTAGTAGTCTATGTCATGAACCCCACGGGCCAAACCAAAATCAGCAATTTTCATGACATTCTCTTCAGTGACAAGAACATTGCGGGCAGCCAAGTCCCGGTGGATGCACTACAAAAAAAGAAGAGACAATTCTTTGGTTAGAATCCATGGAATTCTATGCAAACTAGAATCCTGCTCAGGCTCAAAACACACAAAGGGAGTTGCATGTAGTTGTTCAGAGCCGGCTCTACCATTACCTTCTGCTGATGCAACAACCTCAAGGGCCACAGCACAAGGAATAAAAAACTTGATCCTCCCTGATCTGGAAAGGCCCTTGGCATTCCAGGGAGCTGCTTACATGTGTAGTGTACCAAAAGCAGGACTTGATTGTTCCTGGCAGCAGTTCCCACCCCCTCCCTACCAGAAATAAAAAGCAGAGCTAATATCAGCTGAAGCCCCTGCACTGCTGCCAGAAGCTAGTTCCATGAACCAGTGGCTTCCTGGCCCCCGGGCTCCACATCGTAAGAGACAAACCCCATGATAGGCACAGGGTGTCTAGGAAAATCACCTGTGCTGCAATACAATTCTCCTAAGCATTTCTGTCCTCTCACATAAAACCTAGGCTATTAAGCTCCAGAGACAGGGATTCAGGAAGCTATCAGCACCTTTTTCTGTAGTTGCCTGTGCGGCTGGAGGTCACCTGTATCTTTGTATCCCCATGCTCAGTGTCACCCACCCCCTCTTATTTGCTGTGTGGGTGAATGTTGGGTAAGCAACTGACACATAAGGGAGTGGGGAGGGAGGGAATGACAGACAGACAGACCTTATCCATGTTTGGGTCTCCTAGTATAAATTTATCACTAATGAAGTCCCATTAATACATAATGCCAAAGGAGAAACATCTCTCAACCGGAGAAAGACTGTCTCCCACCCTTGGCTAAAGGAAAGCAAAGATCCTACTAGGCCATTCTTATCAAAGAAGTGGCAAGTTGTTTTATTGGGGTGCTCTTACCCGTTTGGACTCCAAGTACTCCATGCCACGTGCCACCTGGTAGACACAAGACACCAAGTCTTTGAAGGACAGCTGTTCCTCGGGCATCTTAGTGATATCAAAGGTGTAATCAGGTGTTGGAGGGCGACGAGCACGCAGATATTCTCGCAGGTTTCCTTTCGCAGCAAACTCCACAATCACATAGAGAGGTCCTGCAGTCAGATACTGTACATCATTGTCTGTGGTCACGTAGTAATCACATTTCCCAAAATGTGCACTCTGAACTCCAGTGTGGGGCCACAGCTCTGTTCTCCAGCTTCAAGCATCTTGCTACTAATTACTGAGGTTACAACAGGCCTACTCTCCTCTCTGGCCCAAACACAAGGGTATTATCTCTTCCACTCAGTAACATTTGAAACCATTCTTTTGAGTGGACTGCCACTACTAGAACCTAACTCCAGCCAGCATGATTAAAGGGGGGCTGGAAAAAGGCACATTTCCACAGATTTCTTCCTATATTGTGCAGTATATTCTCTATCTCCTAATCCAACAATACAAATTGCTCACCATCCTGTGTGCAGACACCCAAGAGATTGATGATATTCTTATGCTGGTCCATCAGTTTCATCATTTCCATTTCTGAGATGAGATCAGCCAAATCCTTATCAGTGGCATTATCTGGCAAAGGAACAAAATTATTAATACATCTATTGTTGTGGAGAGAAAGGTCCAAAATATGGAGACAAGGAAATGGAGAAGCCCAGTCAATTACATTTACCTTTCAGCATCTTGACAGCTACTGTGATGGGACGCTCTGGTCGCTCCTGATCAATCCCATAGGCTTCTGCTCTTACCACCTGCCCAAAACAGCCCTCACCTAGCGGTTTGCCCAGCACCAGTCTGGAGGAAGGAGAAGGACAAGTCACCTTAAAAAGGATATCTGGCTGGGACCAAAGCAAGAAAGTTAGATGTGCCAAAGGTTATTGTGTCAGAGGGTTAGGACACAAAGGATAGGGCAGGAACTGGAGTTTCTCTCCAGACCCTCTCATGGACCACATGCCCCAGTGCACCAGATCACTTCCATTTTTCTTGATTTTCTCTCCAAGTAGTAACTGGAAGTGAAGTTGCTTTATTTTCTATCAGCATTTTATGAGGGACAAATGAAAAGGTATGATGGAAGAGAGAAGTTTTCATACATTTGGGTGGTAAAATCCGGTAAAAATCACCCAAAAGTTGGACTGAATTTTTTTTGTCTATAGGCACTTATTTTTTATGAAACAAATGGGAAGAATTTATCAGATTAGCATTTTAGCCACTGGGTCAAAGAGTGAAATACACTCTCCAGGGATTTAATCCCAGTTCATTGTATTTTGAAAAAAAGATATCCAATGGTTTCACTCCACGCACAATCATCTGGTGTACAGAACTAAGCTTTTGCATTGCAGTCAGTGCACTGGGGCTGGCTCCTGAGTAGACAAGCATCAAATCAATCTGCACTTTGCATCCTTGGCAGAAAAATGGCCAAACTAGTACAAACCATATGTAGTCCTACCCACTTTGATTTGCCATAGTTAATAAACACAGTGCCATTAAACTTGCCAAGTAGTAGAATGTAGCTTCCAAAATCCCCACTGGATTGGAATATAACAGAGATAGGGAGGAATATAAATAAATAAATTATTGTCGAAGGCTTTCATGGCTGGAATCACTAGGTTCTTGTGGGTTTTTTCGGGCTATAGAGCCATGTTCTAGAGGCATTTCTCCTGACATTTCGCCTGCATCTATGGCAAGCATCCTCAGAGGTTGAGAAGGTCTGTTGGAAGTAGGAAAAATGGGTTTATATATCTGTGGAATGGCTGGGGTGGGGCAAGGAGCTCTTCCCTGCTGCAGTTAGGTGTAAATGTTTAGCTGATCACCTTCATTAGCATTTGAAGGCCTGCCGGAGCCTGGGAAAATCTGTTGCTGGGAGGTGTTAATCTGTGCCTGGTTTTTTCTTCTCTGTTGTTTAGCTGTTATAATTTTAGAGTTTTTTAATACTGGTAGCCAGATTTTGTTCATTTTCATGGTCTCTCCTTTCTGTTGAAATTGTCCACATGCTTGTGGATTTCAATGGCTTCTCTGTGTAGTCTGACATGGTGGTTGTGGTCCAGCATTTCTATGTTCCCAAATAACATGTTGTGTCCAGGCTGGCCCATCAGGTGCTCTGCCATGGCTGACCTCTCCGGCCGAAGTAGTCTGCAGTGCCTTTCATGTTCCTTGATGCGTGTCTGGGCGCTGCGTTTGGTGGTCCCTATGTAGACTTGTCCACAGCTGCATGGTATACGGTAGACTCCTGCAGAGGTGAGAGGATCCCTCTTGTCCTTTGCTGAACGTAGCATTTGGTTGGATTTTCTTGGTAGGTTTGTAGATTGTTTGTATGTTGTGTTTCCTCATCAGCTTCCCTATGCGGTCAGTGGTTCCCTTGATGTATGGCAGGAACACTTTTCCTCTGGGTGGATCTTCATCTTTACTCTCGTGGCTTGTTCTTAGTCTTGCAGCTCTTCTGATGTCTGAGGTGGAGTATCCATTGGCCTGGAGAGCCCAGTTGAGGTGGTTCAGTTCATCTTGGAGGAGGTGGGGTTCGCAGATTCTTTTTGCACGGTCTGCCAAGGCTTTAATGGTGCTTCTTTTTTGACTTGGGTGATGGTTGGAGTTTTATGTAGATATCTATCTGTGTGTGTGGGTTTTCTGTAAATGGTGTGACCCAATTGTTGATCTGGTTTGCGGATGACTAGGACATCTAGAAAAGGCAGTCTTCTTTTCTTTTTCCATGGTGAACTGGATGTTTGGGTGGATGCTGTTAAGATGGTCCAGGAACCTGTTGAGTTCTTCTTCTCCATGGCTCCAAATGGTGAAGGTGTCATCCACATATCTGAACCATATCGTGGGCTTTTTGGCTGCTGTTTCCAGGGCTTGTTCTTCAAAATGTTCCATGTAGAAGTTAGCTATGACCGGGCTGAGAGGGCTCCCCATAGCTACTCCATCTTTCTGTTCGTAGAATTCATTGTCCCACTGAAAGTAACTGGTGGTGAGGCAATGGTGAAACAGAGCCGTGATGTCTTCTGGGAACCTCTGGTTGATGAGTGCCATGGTGTCTGCTACCGGGACCATGGTAAATAGAGACACCACATCGAAGCTGATCAGTTGTCGTTGGTATTTAGCTTGAGATTGCTGATTTTTTCTATGAAGTGGGCTGAGTCCTTGATGTAGTGTGTAGTGAGCCCAATATGGCTTTGTAACTGTGCAGCAAGAAATTTTGCTAGGTCGTTTGTGGGGGATCCAATGGCACTCACGATGGGTCTGAGTGGGGTGGAGTCCTTATGGATTTTTGGGAGTCCATAAAGCCTGGGTGGAAGGGCTTCCGATTTACATAGCTGTTGTCGTATGTCAAAGTTGATTGAGGAGTTCTTAACCATTTTTCCTACTTCCAACAGACCTTCTCAACCTCTGAGGATGCTTGCCATAGATGCAGGCGAAACGTCAGGAGAAATGCCTCTAGAACATGGCTCTATAGCCCGAAAAAACCCACAAGAACCAAATAAATTATTGTTATTATTATTATTACTGCTGCTGCTGCTGCTGCTGCTGCTGCTGCTGCTACTACTACTACTATTACTATAGTTGTTAAAAAGATGCCATGGTCCTGCTTGTCCCTGTCTTGTGGCTCTTAGGTACCCTGTCTACTGCCTGGGAACTGAGTGAAAAATAAGGTCAGCTCACACATTTGGTGACACCCCACCCCTTCCCAGTTATTCTTGTTGTTGTGCTTTCACCCACTTGTGTGGAAGTAATCTGTGAAACAAAAGCACTTCTTTACCCTGTTAGGTCTTGGCTGTGATTATAGCAGCCACATTTTAGAGTTCTTGTGCTCATGAAATCATGTGCATCCAGGTACAAATGAACTTCCAGCTGCTTCCTCAATGTCAGTGCTTTCCACTCTTTGGGCTTCCAGGTATATGGAAATTCAATTCCCAGAAGCCCCACCCAGCTTGGCCAACTGTGAGAGCTAAAGTCCAAAATACCTGGAAGACCATGCCACTGCTCTGTGTAAACCTAGGTAAGCATGAGCCTAAAGACACTGTTGTCTAGACGGTTGGTAGCAGCAACATCCAACACAGTAAGAATCCCTTTGTGCTATTGTAAATTATGTGGAGTTGGCAAGGAAGTCATTTTTGCCCATGAGTAAAAGAAGAACTTATCAGAAGCTAGCAGATAATTTCAGGATCTTTAATGGCACATACTGACAAAAAATCTATGCTTCTCTTCACATTCTTACCTGTCTCGTGGAAATTCCCACTTTGAGTCCAGAGGCAGCTCCACTTCCATGACCCCAGCCAGCATGGGAGTACAACTTGATGAAAGGCGTGTGACACGCATCAAAGATGTGGTGGACTTTCCAGAGGAACTCGATTCTAGTGAGAACTATGAAGAGAGAGGAAACATTCACTAGACTGGCCTACCAATGATGCTCCACTCCAAAGAAGGAACTGTGACCAGACTGGGCAAGGACTTGTGATTCATGTGACAAAATGGAAGTGGAGGCCTGGTCTGAGATCAGAGCAAGCAAAAGATGAGGATAAGTATCATGTGCCCTTCAGCCATTGTTGGACTGCAGTTGCTATTAATTCCCAGCACCAGCCATGCCGGTTGTAAATAATGGTAACTGCAAACCATCAATATCGGGAGGACATGGAGTCTCTTACACATACCTAACACAAGAATAACTGCCAATGCTGGATTAGATCAAGATCCATCTAGGGCAGTGGTTCTCAACCTGTGGGTCCCCAGATGTTTTGGTCTTCAACTCCCAGAAATCCTAACAGCTGGTAAACTGGCTGGGATTTCTGGGAGTTGTAGGCCAAAACACCTGGGGACCCATAGATTGAGAACAACTGATCTAGGTTATCGACTGCATGGCCTTTCTGAGATGCTGTTGGACTGCAACTTCCATAAGCCTTAGGCAGCATGACAAATAGATATGAAAGTTGTGGTCCAACAACATCTCTGAAGTTGTCAGTCTCATCTGATAGTCTCTCTCCAATAATGGTCAGCACAGAGGTTGTCTTATGTCTGAAAGATATTTGCTGGTGAAATGGAAAAACTTGGGAGAGTTAATTCTTCAGATGAGAAAGTGATACTTACTGGCTGTGGGAAATAGCTAGTATTTTTATCAGAGCATTTTATAGCCTGTTTCACAATGAATCTTGGTATGATCCAGAGATTATACCACATTGCTGTCTATCACCAGATTTTGTCTAGATATTGCAGAAAGTACTTTACTTTCCAAAAACCACTGTAGCGGTACAAAGTTTTAAGGGAGATCAGGGACCATCGGACTTACCTGTCGGATGAGTGGGAATTTGGAGAGTTTGTGTACAGTCATGGGTTCCAAGGGCTGCTTGTTTGGCTGAATTTGCATTCGGCACAAGACGACGATGACAATAGCCATAATAATGGCCAACCCCCCTGAGGTGTAGATGATGATATCAGTATACTTGATTTCTGGGATATCCAGCTCTTGCACTTCTTCTTCATCTGCAAACAGTGAGCACATATTCAATTAACATGAGCCAACTACAACATTTATTTTATTTACAACATTTATATGCATTTATATCCTAACAGTTAGGATATAAATGCATATAAATGTTGTAAATAAAATAAATAATAAAATATTCCAGTCCATGACTCAAGGTGGCTTACAGATACATTTAAATGATTGCATCATACACAAATTAAAACATATAATCAATAAACGTGTTGTCAAAGGCTTTCATGGCCGGAATCACTGGGTTGTTGTAGGTGTTTCGAGCTGTATCACCGTGTTCTAGAAGCATTCTCTCCTGATGTTTCACCTGCATCTGTGGCAAGCATCCTCAAAGATTGTGAGGGTGCTTGCCACAGATGCAGGCAAAACATCAGGAGATAATGCTTCTAGAACATGGCCATACAGCCCAAAAAATCCACAACAACCCTATAATCAATAAAACTAAAGGCTAAGAAAAAGAAAAAACAAGGAATACACCTAGTACAGCACAGGAAAGGCCCTTTTCTTGTAGGCAGTCAGCCTTCAAAGATACGCCCAAATAAAACAACATGTCTATGAAACAGCAAGGAAGATACCAATCTATCTTCATTAGGAAGGAAATTGCAAAGCCTAGGAGCATTGACAGAAAAGTCCCGCTCTCATGTTCTCAGCAGAGGTTCCTTTGAGGATGGTGGGCAGGCACCTTCATGCTGCTGCAGCAAGTACCAGGGCACAATATCAGGCCTAAGCAAAATAGGCAGGCTTCCTTATCCAACAGGAACAATCCATCCAAAGATAAACCCTTAGATTTTTAATGAGAAATTTTAGTATGGGTTTAATCCACCTGGTATAAACAGGGTGTGAAACTTAGTTTTGATTGCATCATGTGCATGTATATTGAAGTTGCTTTATAGTGACCCCATGAATTTCATATACATTTATATCTTTGAATCATTCTGCAATGCTCCTGCTGTCTTGGGGTGCATATTTACTGCAGGATTAATGCAGTTTGATACCACTTTAATTGCCATGGCTCAATGCTATGGAATCAGAGCACCTGTAGTTTCTCCACTCTTTGGTGGAGAAAAAGAAAGACCGTGTAGAGCTGCAACTATCTCAGCAATTCTTTCACATACACAGAAAATTATAGAATGTCAACATGGAACATATTGATGCCAGGGGTGGGAAAAAGGACATCCTTGAGACTGCGGTCTTTGGTATGCAAAGTTCCTGAAAGCAGCCTCTGAGTTATTAATGGCCATTTCTGGTGTGCGCAGGCTTTGAGGAGCCTTTACTTTTGATGTGATTTGAATTCCTTTCTTTTCTGTCATCAATTTTCACATTTTGTTGGATAGCAACTCCCATGAACCCCCGTCAACGTGACTACAGGGGAGCGATTATAGGAGTTTAAGTCCAAAAACACATACCTATTTTTTTATCACTAGAATACATACAAGAAGTACATATTAATAAAATGGCACTCAGTTACTATACATTTTTTTTTACTTTTGATGTGTGTGATAATTTGGACATGTTGCTCCATAGATCCAAAAAATAATCTAACATAATCATTCTCCATATAAAAAGTATACAGGTTTTTTTTATTCCTGAAGGGGAAAATACCCTTTTGCAAATGAATTTTTGAAAGAAAGTTATTACTGGATCTGAGAGTCATGGATGTAATGCTGACTGATGTATTAGGATTACTTTTTATTTATTGTCTTTCAGACCTTGTGATTAAGGAGTACATTAAAAATGCTAAAGATCAGCAATCTGTTAGAAGAGTAGAATATACTTTCTGAATCTGGCGTGTTAACATCTGGATACAATTTGACAAGAGACTGAAAATAATCCAGATGGTTATGTTCCAGCTATGGAAACCCATTTATTTAAATGAGGTAAGAATGTTATGAATAAAGCTTCATTTTATACAATGGGGCTGCTGTCCCCACAAAATGTTTTTGCATAATCCTATGCATGTTTTCACAAATGTAAATCTCACTCTGATTTATAGGGTTTGCTCTCAAGAAAGTTGACATTAGTCGCCAATAATAAGCACACGAAAATATCACTTCTATTCAAATGAAGGGAGATAAAAAGTGTTTCACAGCAGTTGGACTGGACTCAGTACAAAGCAGTTCTAAAGTCTAGTCTGTCTTTTATTGTCTTAAGAGTTACAATGACATTGAGGAATATATCACACATGTATGGATTTTATTTGGTCTTGAGAAACAGAAGATTTCTCTATATTGTTTTCTCTTGATGACTGGTGTGCAATTTTTCTATTTCTTCTTGAATGAGTTACCTCATTTATACACTGGCCTTTCAGAAAATGGGTTTGATGTTTGCACTGCTATTTATTCTCCATTGTCCATTTAAACCCAGGTTTTGGCATGTTATACTCCATCTTTTGTGGTTTATCTTGCATTGTATTCTTTCAATGTATTTGTCTACTGCCCAGAGAACTGTAATGTTTAATGTATTTTTCAAGGAGGGCAAAACATAGAACCTGAGTGGTTTGCAAACTGCTGTATTAGAAGTAGAACTTCTGCATGATTGGAAGTGGATGGGCAAGGATTTCTCACCATGCATTGGTATTAGGCTCTAGGGGTGAATCCTATGGGCTGATTTTTTCAAAGTGGATGCGACAAGGCTGAAGAGCACTCTACCTCACCTGGAAGCACAGTGAGCCAAGCTGACTGGTAGGAGAGGCCAATGGAATTCCCCGCCAGACAGGTGTATTCACCAGCATCTTCCATGGAGACATTGCGCAAGTACAGCACTTCCACCTCTGAACTGTTAATATCTGCTGTCTGTCAAATAAGGAAAGTGGTATCAAGAGGAAAGTGTTAGCTTGATGATCCCAGAGCATTATTCAGACTTCTTGTCAGATAAACAGCTTATATTATTGTTGTTGTAATTATTATTATTATTATTATTATTATTATTATTATTATTATTATTGCTGTTATTAAAGTGAGCACAGCTATACAAAAGATGGACATTAAAATGGAAAAAGTAGTCATGTAAGGAAATTATTCCATGAATGAAATTTAAATTACACAATTAAAAATAAATAAAAAGCAGTTAAGAGCACAGTACAATTAAAACACCACAACATGCACTTAATAGCTCTTTCTTTACGTCTCAGAATAAAAGCCTTTGCCTCCCAACAGACCAGCAACTCGGCATGTATTTTGGCCTCTCTTGGAATGGGAGACTGAGAGAGAAATGCCTTGCCTGATAATTTTGGGCTCATGTGGAGAGAGAGCATCTGTCTTTCTGTCAATATATCTGTTAGAGCGCTTCACTGACCCAGTGAAACTCTGGTTTGCCATTCACAATCTGCTTACTAATGCAGGCTGCCCACTTTTCCTGCTTATAGCTGGTACACGTTGAACAAAAGATGGATGGGTGGCTCATGGCTTGTTTAGCGCAATGTCCAAAACCCAGCAGGAGCCAGTTCTCTGGCTTTGTCCTTGTCTCTCAAGAAGCAGAGCCTAACTGTGACTGTTTTGACAGATTCCAACATTTGAAATAAAACCCAGAACAAATCATGAAAATGTAGCTGCCTTGTCAAGGAAGAAGCAAGCCGGAGTGCCAGCTTATGCCACATTTGAATGTAACACTGAGAAACAACAGATCTTTGAGTAGCTGCTCATATTACATTGCCTATTCACATTATATAAAATCACAGGATTTTATGATTTCTGAGTACGCTATTCATTTTACACCATGAGAAGATATTGGATGAGAGTACCATGGCTGATGTTAAATTTCAGTGCATTTAATGTCCCAAATTTTGGCTCCTTGGGTGGTTTGCAGTTTATATCCAAGAATTCCAACACCCAGGAATTATGGGATCTGAAGTTCTGCATCTAGAGGGCAGATTTCAGAACCTAGGATGTGTGTAGGCTTTACATTATTTGCTGTTAATTTGATAATAACACACAAAGTTTATTTCCTTGCATTTTCTCATATAAGCTAGCCCACCAACATTGGCAATTTTGCCCTTCTGGGATCTTGTCTGTTTTACTCTCCTCAAAATAAACATAACAAAACACTTGTAAAACTTGTTTTGAGTGAAAAATGCTGCTTGAAAATGATAGTATAGTCACAGAGTGCAGATGTGGAAATTGTAATGATATAGACGCACGTGTCTACATCATTAGAGGTGAGCAGCTGGAGGTCCCTGGTCAAATCAAAGGAGCAGAAAGGTATAATCTCCTCATTTTTTCTACTCCCAGTTGCTCAAAGTAAAGAAGAGGCATTGAAAATGAGACAGGTGTGTCATCATAACCTTTTGGGGAAAAACCCCATTATGTTAGCTGGAACTTTTTGCCATCATTCCCCACTCCTTTGTCAAAATTTGTCTGTAGAAGTATCATAAAGTTCCCTCACCTCCCAAATCCCAAGTTTTAGCTACGACTGTCCCTCTTCCCCAACACAGAAATTGCCTTGCCAGAAAAAGGCAGAGGAATATCCAACTCTGTTCTTGTCGCATGACTCCACTGATAAGACAGTAGCTGGATGGAATGGCTGTGGGTGAAAATTAGGGTTTGGAAGGTGAGGGAAGACAGGTAGTTTTGTCTTCCTTGATTTTTGTTTTGTGTCAGGAGCGAATTGAGAAACTGCAAGTCTCTTCTGGTAAGAGAGAACTGGCCGTCTGCAAGGACGTTGCCCAGGAGATGCTCGGATGTTTTGATGTTTTACCATCCTTGTGGGAGGTTTCTCTCGTCCCCAAATGGGGAGTTGGAGCTGACAGAGGGAGCTCATCTACACTCTCCTCAGATTCAAACCTGCGACCTGTCAGTCTTCAGTCCTGCCAGCACAAGGGTTTAACCCATTATGCCACTGGGGGCTCTGTCTTGCTTGATAATTAGGGGTTTCTGTAGTTTTAATCCTTACTAGATTTTGGAGCAGGACTAAGTACTGTCTTGCTTGATAATTACAGTACTTAGTCCTGCTCCAAAATCTATTAAGGATTAAAACTACAGAAACCCCATCCAGGATTCAATCTTAGAGCCCATGTTCCAGAAGATCAAAGAGCTGTAATTTCAGCAGCGGTGCTAGTTCTGCGCTATTGTCAGGATCATGGAGCATTCACCTTCTTGCAGCTTTCTGGTCTCCTTACCTTAAGAACTTGCACATAGGGGACTCCATCTGGACCATAACTGCTCCCATTCACTTCAATGTGTTTGAGCCACTGTATGTGAGGCTGGGCGTCACTGTATACCTTGCAAAAGAACTCCACATCACTGCCTACCACAGCGGTTGTGTTCGCAGGCAGCCCAGCTTGCAGGATAGGTCTGTGCGGGGATCTCTCTGCCAGGAAGAGAGCAGGGAAACTTTTTGTCCACCACAGTTGAAGGCTGCCAGGCCTCCCTCCCGACACTGCATTCCGACCCGAAGATGTTACAATCAAACCCAATGGTACATAAATCACTAAAGATGGAACTGATTACAGTATCTTAAAAAGCCATTCATGCACCGTACTAGTCAACTGAAATCTACTTTCCTCATTTGCCACACAGCTGTATCTCCTTTTCAGAGGTTCTTAGTATATCTTCAGCCTGAAAATGTTACTTTTATGGATGAGAAATCCCAGAACCCTTCCAGAAAGCTAAAATTTTGAAACATTGTCCAGAAAGTTAACTTTCCAAACTTCATCAGGGCCGCCTATGCAGGTCTGCTTTACATGATATGATGTCTTTTTAACCCAGCAGTTCTGACTACACTTCTGACATTATTTAAAGCCACAGGCAGGCTGAACTCCCCCACCCAGTGCTGATTACCAAGTAAGCCCAGAAAAGACAGATAACGAAGGGCTGAGAGATAAGGAAGTTTCAAGTTAGGCTTAGAAATTCAGACAGGGTTAATTAATTTCATCTGCTCTTATGGCCCAAGAGATTGCAAGCTTCCTTTGAAGTTGGCAGAGGGTTTAGAGCATATCCCCCTCTCCCCCACTCCTCAGGGAGCTGAGATCAGGACTGTGGTCCTGCTTCTTCCACAGGAGCTTGGCAAGCTTCCATAGGCTGTGATCTAGCATTGCAAGCTCAGAAGACAAAGAAATTAGAAGCATCTCAGATCCACCAGGAATAACCCCATGTTACTCTAGACCAAGAGTGGTGAGAGGATGTCCCATGTAAGCAGCACCTAAATGTCACTTTTGCAGTGCCTGAAGCTCCCTAGAGCCCTTCATTTTAAAACATTAATGTGAGTTTGGGGCACATTTGTCCCTGTAAACCATGCAGAAAATCCCTTTTGAGATCCAGATCCTTGCTATTCCCAATACCTTTGCTTCTCTCTGCAGTCCCTCTCAAAATGGTGATCAGAAGTGATGCAATGTACTTCTATGTGCCATTTTGACAAGGAGCACATAGAAAAACAGAAGCATTTTGGTCTGCCGTGTGTAGGAGGTGTGGCTTGTGGGGAATCAGTGGGATTAAATTGGTCTGTTCTCCCAAACCCACCCCTGCTAACTTTTGTCTGACTATTTGGTAGGGGATGCATCAATCTCACCTAGTACATCCAAAAAGTAGCTGTAGCGGATGCTGCCAAACTTGTTCTCCACCAAGCAAGTGTAGTTGCCTCGGTCCGAGGGTACCACACTCTCCATGACCAAGCTCCAGTGTTGATGCCTCAACTACAGAAAGAGGAGAAGACACAAACTGACTTGATTACCAGACGTTGAACAGGTCCACCCATTCCTCCAAAGAACGACTGCTCAAAAGGTAGATGCCGCCTTGTTTCAGACCTAGTTATTCCACATTATCCCAAAATTGTGGAATGCTGATCTGACTGACTGAAGACAAGAGAGCAAAAAGGGATTCAAAAACTCATCAGTTACTCAGAGGGTGCAAGTAGCTTCTGGCTCTAGAACTGTCTAAAGACACAGATTAAGTTCTGCCCAGGAGGGGCTCGTTCTTCAAAGAAATTTGCCCAAGTTTTGTCTGTTTTGACCCTGTAGATATTTGGGACGTCATTAATCACAGTGGGTGAGGCAGATGGGAATATTAAGAGTAAGCTATCTGGAGGCAAAAGGTTCTCATAATCTATTAAATTGTTAGTGTAACATGTTCCCAGTCACCTACCTCAAAATGCTGCCTCATGCAAATCTGGTCCATGAGGCAGCTGAAAGAAAAACATCAGGATAAGGTGATGGGGTGGATTCTTACCCTGATTCCTCCTATTCTGTGCTCCCCTCGGAAGTCCCTCCCATTCTTCAGCCAGCGGATAGTTGGGTTGGGGCTGCCTGAGGCTGGGCAGCGGAACTTGACTGTATTCCCTGCCGGGACGGCATACAACTTCTTATCCATTCGATGGGGGTGTGTCCAGTAGGGTGCTGAAGAAGACATTTTACCCAATCAATTCCAGATTTAAATTAAGGGACATGTTCAAGCCCTGGGGATAATGGCAGTTTCTTATACCATAGTATTGCAAGGAGTTGCATTGCTTTCAGAAAGAGAGGATGTCAACAGAATAAAGTGTGGGAGTAACAAGTGTGACACAGGCACCAAAAAAGTGCAAAAACCAATCATGACATGGAACTACCAATCCCACCAGACCAAATGTGTTGGAATAATACCTCTCACCATTTTAAGTTTTTTAATTTTATCGATTGATGTTGTCCATTGTTTGTATCCAGTCAAATTGCACATTGTTTTGATGACATGTAATTCTATTTTATATGTGGCCCCTTGAATGCTTTGTTAGCTGTTCTGAGTCCCTTCCGCGAGATGGTGGCTGGGTAAAAGTTATTATTATTATTATTATTATTATTATTATTATTATTATTATTATTATGGATCTAATGGGAGATGATGACAGTATTAATCCAGCATATCTGGAAAGTGGATGAAGTACTAGAGCAGGAGTGGAAATTATGTGACCTCCTAGATATTTTTAAATTATAGGTATAGACAATGATGAAGTATGCAAGGACCTACAATTTAGTAACATCTAGAAGGCCACATGATTCCTATCCTTTCACCATTGCCCCCAAGAGACCTTGGACTGCTGCATTTCACTGCAACAAACAACTAATTCCCCACTCCCCCAATGCTCCATAAAGGACATTTAACCATATTTACCTCCCAGAGCAGATTTAGATTCAGGAAATGACTTTTTGTAACAACCTGCTCACATCTTTTTGTTGTAAAAAAAACCCCTTTGGTCTAGAATGGCCCAAATGAAAACCATGATGAAAATGCCCTCACATCTGCTAAAATCCCTGCAAGCATGGAGCTACTATTTTTACAATCATTCTGCCAGAGAACAGCAGAAGTCTGGGAGAAAGGAATAAACTTTAGGATTCATTTTAATTCACCAGATCTCCTTCCTATTAACCTGCAAATAGCTGCGGTCAATCTCTGTTGAGAGTAGAAGTTGAAGGAAGTAAGATATCTGTCTACACTGAATAGTAGTACCAAATATCTCTCTTCCTGCACTCTCTTTCTGTGCGCAGAATGCAGCATGCTGAATTCAGAATGATTAACTTAGGCATGAAACTGACCTCGTCGTGTGTTTACAGGCTCCTCATTAGAGTCAATATGAGAACTGTCCACATCACTGTCTTCATCGTCATCACCAGATGCTAAGGAATCTGAAACAAAATATGGAAGGAGTTGATTCTTTGTAATACATCCCTTTCCACAATATTCTCATTCATGTAAACACAAGGAAACAAACAAAAGACCAGCTAACAAAGGAGCTAAAAGCTTTCTTTTTCGAAAAAGGACTATAGAGGAGTATTCAAAACACTGCTAAGTGTGTGCAGAAGTATATTGGGAGATGAAGAGGAACAAGAGTACTAAGTTATAGAAATTGGCTTACAGGTGTTTCAGAAAGGGCTCTGAAGGTGAAGCAATATGTGGTACAATATGTACTTGGTAAGAGCTGCAGCTCAGCTGTCATGTAAATGGCTTGTCAGTTGAAAAAGTGCAAGGAACAATCCCGGCCATCTTCCAATATTGCTGAGGAGGAGTCCTGTCCAAAGTGTTGGAGAGTCACTGCTATCAATCAGTGCTGACAGCATTGAGAAAGATGGAGCAGTGACTTACCCACAATAGAGATCGTGAAGTTGCGTAGTGTCTCCCCCGTGCTCCGTGCCCTGCATGAGTACAGTCCTGAGTCCTCATAGGTTACTTCAGCAATCTCCAGCATGCTCTGGCGCATATGGATACGTCCACTTGGGGAAAGCTGTTTTGCTTCTTTATACCATGAGATGACCTGGCTGTGATTGGTGCTGCAATAGAGCTTGAGCAGACTCCCTGGGTCCAGGAGAAGGTGTTCATCCTCTACCTCCATCATGTGGCTGTCAAACATCTCTGTTCAAGAAAAATAACAGCACGATCCATTCAAATGACAGTGTCCATTCACATGAGAAACTGTACACCAAAAGTTAGATTACCCTGGGCTATAGGGTAGGCAAAACAACAGCTACAAAGCAGGGACTCCTTGAATCGAGGCAGATGCACACTCTCTGTATATATGCACAGAGAGTGTGCATATATACATTTCTTGGGGTGGGTACTTCTACCTATAAAAAAACCGCTTAGAGTCGCCGTTGGCTGATATTTGCGGTATACAAAAGGAGTAAATAATAAATAAATAAATATAACTATACAAGAGCAGAATATGAGTGATATATTGGAGATCTGCAAGTGATTTGTTGTTATGAATATTATTAATTACCTTTGGTTTTCAGTAGGGTTACCAGACTGAAAAACAAAGAGAATTTTGTACTTTGTACAGAAGAGGGAATTGTAGCAGTTGTTGTCTGTTACCTGGTTGCAAGATAAGCAGCTCTGGCTCAAATTCCTTCTTCTACACACATTAAAGGTTCAGGCGCTCTCTCCAGATTTCATTTTGGTTACTCCAGTTTTCACAGGTTCCTAGTTTTTCTGTGCAGAGCTGACTTTTGACATTTTGTTCCTACAGCATACCACGCTTATATGATGGCAGTTAATTTTTTTCCAGTTCTGACATAGTAATACATGTAAATATGCACGAGCATGTGCATGCACATACACACAAGGTCAATGGACAATAAAGAAGAGGAAAATGTCAGGCTCTTCGTTTCTGTAAACCTTTCATTTTCTGAGGTCCACAAAAATCAAAGTGAAACTTCAGAACAAATTAGATATTGGGCTTGTCTGATACTGATTTTGATGAGAAAAATACAACTGTGGTCTTACTATCTAGAATATATTTATTCACGGGGTTTGAATGGAGCATGAAGAAATAAAAAATACATCTAATTCTCTTTTCCTAGAGTTACTATGATTGTTGAAACCCAATCCTGTGCAAATTTACTCAAGAGTTCAAATGATCTTAGTTTCTAGTAAGTATACAAAGTGTAAGGGCTCTATTATTCATGACAGCAATGAGTAAATGCACTGTGGACAATTTTTGCTCCCTCCACAAGCCATACAGTACTTGCACATTTTTGGCCAGAAAGAAAATACAGCATGAGCAGAAATGTACTTCCAGTTTACATTTCTGGGTTTTGAGCCATTTATTTTGGCCAACTTCTGATACATATGGAATTCTGTGGAGATGGAAGAATGCTTTTTTTATACTGAACATTCCTCCAAGAGTTTTTTTAATGGCCCTTCTTTTTTCTTTTGGAGGGGGATCCTAGGAATTTTAGAAAATTCTGTTGGATAAGAATGATGTCAATTTCTCTATCTTAGTCTAAAAGGACAAAATATTTAAGAATTAAGCATTATTGTAACATCATATTTGTATCCTCATGTATTATTAGCCCTTAATTGACTTAAAATTGGCATTCATGTTATCTGCTTTTTCTCTTAGGTAAAGGTAAACATTTCCCCCTTGACATTAAGTTCAGTCGTGTGCTCATCTCCATTTCTAAACCAAAGAGCCGGTGTTGCCTGTAGACACCTCCAAAGTCATGTGGCCGGCATTGACTGCATGGAGCGCCATTAACTTCCTGCCGGAGTGGTACCTATTGATCTACTCACATTTGCATGCTTTCGAACTGCGAGGTTGGAAGACGCTGGGGCAGTTTCGAACTGGCTACCTTTTGGTCAGCAATTTCAGCAGCTCAGTGGTTTAACCCACTGTGCCACCAGGGCTTTTTCTCTTAAAAACAAGCAAATGATATTTTTGTTTCTTGTGGGATACTTCTGAACACTAGTATCTATTGTACTCAAGTCTATATCACAAGATTTTATTTTTCTTTGCTACTGTATTTGTTGCTTTTATTGTTCTATTTCCCAGGAGATTGAAATATATACTTGTTAACTTTAGAAGAGAAGAGCTTCTAATGCAAGTTATAACACTCATTATGTATTCATATCAGTAAAAACTGGCTTGGTTTCAGAACTTTGTTCATAAACAAAACTGACAAAAATGAATAGCACTTAATTGAGCCATGACTAATCTAAGCCAAATCAATTTCATTGGCTCTCTAAGAAAAATGAAGTCTGGAGCCAAAACATCATTTTAAAAAACCACACACAGCAAGGCATTTGATAAACAAATCAAACAGTAGTAGCTCAGTCTTTACACCATAAGCAATGCACAATATAGTTCCTATACCAAAATCCTATGCATGTCCACCCAGTTCAATGCTAAGCATTCTCATAGGTTTACTGAAATACAGCCTTCAAGTGACGGAGTTTATTTTTATATAAAAAATGTAGTACCAATATTTGAGTTTTGCTAAGCTTCCTCCCTTTACAGTTTCAACATCCCTGAAGGCCTTCTATTTTGAAGGAAAGTCTAGCATGTGAGAAAACTATAGGACTCTCTCTCCTTAACCATCAGTCACAAATAAAGGAAAACACTTTGTTTTCAAGCTTTCACAAACATCAATAAAGATAGATCTGAGAAAAGATTTCAGGCTAAACAAGGGACATAAAATTCTCCTTCAGTCTTGGTACTCGTGAATAGGGATTAATGCCAAATGTGCGGAGCACTTTAGAGAAATTAGAGATAAGAACAGACAAGGCATCATCACAAGGGTTTATAATTAGACCTGATATTGACTCTATGTGTGTGCATTGCATTGCTGTTGATGCTGCCATCCCAGTCTCTCTCTCTCTCCCCCCCCCCCCCAAATGAATGGAATTTCGGAGTTAACCATGAGGAATGATTAACCACAGGAACTGCAGGTTGAGGGAAACGTGCAGTCCCCCTTCCTGCAACCCCTGCCCTCCAAGGGCAGTCCCTCCCTGCCTTTGTCCTGGACTCCAAGCTTTGCCTCTTGTTTTGTGGCACAATGATGTCATCAAAGGCCCTCTCTGGACAGGAGAAAGGATCCCTGCAGACACTGAAGCATGACTTCTCTGCTCAGATCTCTCCCCTGCCCTCCACACCTCCCCTTCCCGCTCTCTCTGTGGGGGCCCTCGATTGAGTGGTCATTCTCCCTCCGCCAAAAGTGACTGTTTTGACAGATTCCAAAATGAACATGTCAGGAAGCCCGTGACCACTGCCCCTTCCCCCATGGCCGCCATTGTCCCAACCGCGCTGCTCCTTTTCCCGTGCTCTTCCTTGCCCTGGCCTGACAATAGAAGCCCGTCTCCTTTCAGCAAACAGCTCTGTTATTAGCTCAGGCTCTGCCTCCCCAGGTTGAGGAGAAGGGGGGCTGAGGCTGGAGAGGCAGTGAGTTAAGAAGGCCTCATCACTGCTCCCAGGGGCCAGGCTTGGCTGTGGGGCAAAATCCCACAAGGAGACGAGCAAAAGGGCAAGCATTGGGTTTGTGCCACAGCAGTACTGCCCTCGGTTATCTCTCCCCCCCCCCGCACATTGTGCCCCCTTTCTAATTTAGCTCCATTCCTCCTCCTAGTGTCTCATGCTCAGCTCCCCTTCAGCACAGGCCTCCTCCCTCTTTTCTCCTCTCCTCCTCCATGGCATGAGTAGGAGTGAGTGGTTTCACACTCAGCTGACTCCACCACTTCCCGCCTCCCTGTTTGCCTAACCTGGATTTGAACTATAATTGCTTTCGTGACCCATCCTCCTCCTCCTCGATCACCGACACCACCAGCTTGGCTTGTGGGAATCCTGCCATCTCCCCCTCTCACCAACTCCATTATAAGCCAGCTCCACGTTGGAGAAATCCACTGATACTCTGGACCTCCAAAAACACAAACAAATGAGTCCTGGAACAAAACTATCCCGAACTCTTCCTAGAATCCCAGATGGCTAAACTCAGACTGTCCTACTTTGGACATATCATGAAAAGACATATGACTCTCTGAAAAAGACAATAATATTTGTTAAGGCGGAAAGCAGCAAGACAAGAGGAAAAGTGCATTCCACAATGATAGATCCAATCAAGGAAGTCACAGCCTTGGGTCTGCAAGATAAAGTGAATTGGAAGTATCTTATTCACTGGCATCACCACAAGTCAAAGTCAACTTGACAGTAGTTAAGAACAATAAAATGCGTCCACACTCGACTGATACTATTATTTCCAGCTTGATGAATCCTTCACAACAGAGTTCTAGGAGCAAGCCAGCCTTTTGGAATCACTTGGGGAAGCTTTGCTTTGACTAAAACTCTCAGAAGTCTTCAGGCAGCATGCTTTTGGCTTAAGACACAAGCACATAACTGTCAGAACTGAGTTTGTGCTCTATAGATCTACATCTCTTTCCCACTTGCCACCAACCTCACTTTTTGTAAACCATGTGGGCAGCAGAGAAATCAAAATCATTCTTCCTGCCACCTCAAAACCCACCTTGGCCAGCAAAATCCAGGCACATGGTCCATCCCCCACAAGTCATGGAGCATAGTTCCCACAACAATCCCTAAGGCAAGTTACTCTGTCTCTTAAAGCCAGAGAGTGGGGGAAAAGAAAAAATGGCTATTTGCTTCCTTTTCGTGACATTTAGAAATATGGGAATTTCACCAGATGGTATATAATAGGGAATGTTTGAAAGAAGAAAGCATCTATTCACATTTTACCTCTTTGTAATGCAATGGGACTGAGTAAACTTGGCTCAGCAAGAGACTTATGAATGTTACTATCATTATGATCAGTATGTTTGTTAGCATTCACTCTTGATCTTAAGAACTTGGACAGGGATAGACATGTTCCTTACTGCAGAAACACTTTCAATTTTCTCAGACTTCATATGGTTTCAGTCTGAGAAAATAAAGTTAAGTGAATGGAGGGCATATGGATCTTGTCTGAAGGGGAGCCTCACTAGCTGACATATCAAGAAGCAGCTGTTTCTAGAGTGGCATTTCAGAAGTTGGAAAAGACTCTCCAAATGGCCCAGTTTGCTCCAACGGAAGGACCTAATTGCCCAAGTGGCCATCCTTTCTCTTCCCTTAGCCCAATGTGTTCCTGTTATGTACCTTCCGGTTCATTCTGACTTATGGTAACCCTAAAGTGACCCTATCATGGGGTCTTCATGACAAGATTTCTTCAGAGTGGGTTTGCTTTTGCCCTCCTTAAGCCTGAGAGTGTGAGATTTGCCTGAGATGATTTCTAGATTAAATGCACCAGCTCTGATCAGTTTTTGGAAGATAAGAAGAATCAGTCCTGCTCAGCAATTGGATAGGAGACTGTCAACAAATACCTGGTGCTGCAAGCTATATTTCTGGGGAAGGAACTGGCAAAACCATTTCTAGGAACCCCTTGCCTAAGAAAACACCATGAAATTCATTAGGTTTTCTGTAAATCAACAGACAACTTGATGGCACATTCACACACATTACAAAGAAACTTTCAAACACTATGACATACCTGTTGCCTCCCATCAGCCTGAGAAATGTCAGAACCAAAAATATACTATTTCCCAGTTCTCTTTCCTAAAATAATCGAAAAGGTTGGGACATGACAAAGGTGTCCAGCCAAACTATCAGCTTGTAATGGATTCTGTCAAGCGGAATCAATGATATATAAATATCTAAAGCCTTCTGTGTGGAAAATAAAACCCCCTCTAGCAGTGATGAATCCCATTTCAACAGACTCCGCAAGACCCAAAGTCTATACCCAATGTTAATAATAACTAGGGTAGATGGACTGAATCAAAGGAATCTTGGGAAATCATCATCTATATATGTTTCATTCAAGTAGCTCTATTCTGGTTGGGACTAACATTTTGAATATACTTTGCAAATGAATATTTAATTCTTCTGTTGTTAGTCAGACTTTTTAAAAATTCTCAACCACTAACCATGTTCAAGCAATGATTATCTTTCAAATGTTTGATAAAACTATACACCAGTTGTTCTCAATCTGTGGGTCCCCAGATGTTTTGGCCTTGCAACTCCCAGAAATCCTAACAGCTGGAAGTTGTAGGCCAAAACACTTGGGTACCCACAGGTTGAGAACCACTGCTATATGTATTAGAAGTTCTATGTTATGACCCAGAACTTCAGCCTGGTTCCTGACCATTTTCTCTTGAGCATGCAATGATTTAACCAAGTAACTTCTAGGTCTAGGACTCCCAGAATCTCCTCACAAGCACGGCGACAAGCAAGGAGAATCTGTGAGTCATAGTCCAAAAAAGGAACTTTTCCCAATCTCTGTTATGCAAATGACTTCCCACAGGAGATTTGTGTGTGTGTGTGTGTGTGTGTGTGTGTGTGTGTGTGTTAGAAGCAACCTGAGAAACTGCAAGTTGCTTCTGGTGTGAGAGAATTGGCCATCTACAAGGATGTTGCCCAGGGGATCCCAGGATGTTTTGATGTTTCACCATCCTTGTGGGAGGCTTCTCTCATGTCCTTGCATGAGGAACTGGAGCTGACAGAGGGAGTTCATCCGCGCTCTTCCCAGATTCAAACCTCTGACTTGTTTGTCTTCAGCCCTGCTGGCACAAGGGTTTAACCCAGGGGTCTTCAAACTAAGGCCCGGGGGCCGGATACGGCCCTCCAAGGTCATTTACTCGGCCCTTGCTCAGGGTCAACCTAAGTCTGGAATGACTTGGAAGCAAACAACAACCACAACAACAACAACAACATCAATCCTATCTCATCAGCCAAAAGCAGGACCTCACTTCCCATTGAAACACTAAGTTAAAATTATTCTTCATTTTAATTATTGTATTGTTTTTAAGTGGGTTTTTTTTTGCACTACAAATAAGATATGTGCAATGTGCATACGAATTCATTCATGTTTTTTTTTTTCAAATTACAAATCCGGCCCTCCAACAGTTTGAAGGACTGTGACCTGGCCCTCTCTTTAAAAAGTTTGAGGACCCCTGGTTTAACCCAATGCACCACTGGGGGTTCCCCCAAAAGAGATTACACATAACAAGCAATATAGCAACTACATGTAGGTTCACTTTTTGGTTTGATTCAAGCACCTTGGAAAAGTGAATTACAATGAGAAGAGAAATGTGAAGACAGGGGCACAAAGGCAGCTGGTTGGCAGAAATAACAAATATCCCATCTGTTCAGTGGATGGGCCAGTTAGGAAAGAAATGTCTTTTCTCAGGCATGAGTGATGATGCCAAGCACCTGGCATGCCAATATGACCCTCACTCTGCCAAGGAATCCAAGAAGTACAAAACTACGTAAAAATACCAACAGCCCTGGCAAATTACTTTGTTAAATGGGGCCAATTATAAGACAATGGATCATTTTGGTCACATAATGCAATAAATGTTTCAGATTCCAAAGTATGAATTTATAACAGGATTCATTTAACAGGGTCCCCTGTTTCTTATTTTTGCACATTTTATGGCTTCAGTTATGCCTCCTAAACAAAGCATTTGCTTCAACAAATGGTAAATCCAACAAACCTCTATAAATTATGTCAACCCTTGCACTATAGTGATAAAGTGACACTATACTCTTGTCACACAAGGCACCTGCTTGGCGGAAATGTACTTAGTTCTATTCTGCATTACCAGTCTTGATTGTTTAATTCAAATGTTAATCAACCAAATTGACAGCTAAGGACAAAGTCAAGAAACAGATCCAAAGAAAAACTAGCTGCTAAATGAGACTGAAGTGCCCCTGACAGAGAAAAATTAGGCCTCATCAACCTCTTGCTCACAATCTTCCTGGCAGAGACATCATAAACAATTTGGTGTTTGGAGGTGATCTGCATTAAATACTGCAGATCTTTATTGCATTTTCTTTGAAATCAGGAATCCTGGATGAACTATTACAAAACTTCTGCAATTATGCCAGCAGATCCTAAATTACTGTCTGCATGCGGTATTCCTTTTGCCCACACAAGTACTGCCTTAGAGGGTGTACTTTCTCCTCAAAGACCATCATCATCAGATTGCTTATGTTCTGTTCAACCAAAAGACTGAGGAGGAAAAAAAACAAGTAGTATAACCATTAAGAGCTGTATGCACTACATCATTACATGGAGAAATGAGCATGCAATATCACTGTGTTAGTATAGACTGGGAATCTTGTGGCCTCCAGGAATTGCTGGATTGCAGCCTCCTGCATCCCTCATCGCTGGTGAGGGCAGTGGTTCCCAACCTGTGGGTCCCCAGATATTTTGGCTTTCAACTCCCAGAAATCCTAACAGCTGGTAAACTGGCTGAGGTTTCTGGGAGTTGTAGGCCAAAACACCTGGGACCCACAGGTTGAGAACCACTGGATTAGGGCTTTCGGGACTTGCAATCCAGGAATGTTTGGAGGGACACATGATTTCCCCCTCCCCTTCATTAGCAGGTTAGAAGAGAATTAGTTTAGAAGACAGCAAATCATGATTGTAAGGATGCCGCTGTTCAGATTTTGCTGAACTCCCATCATCCTTTACTATAGGCTATACTAATTAGGATGGATGAGAACTGTACTCTAACAACACTGGAAAGTCCAATTTCGCTTAGCTCTCTCCAATGGGAATAATATGGCTCTGCACTATTGTCATAAGAAATGCAGTAAGTCTTATCAAACCCCAACAAAGATGAAAAGGGTGCCCCACAAATTGTGAGAATTCATAGCCCCTTTGTTTCAAGCCAAAACCATTGCTAATTTGGCTTTACTGCAACTTCCTGTCCTCCAGATGTGTTGGATTACAATGGGACGGTCCGTATTGTAATCCAACCATCTGGTGGACACCAGGTTATGGAAAACTGGTCATCTTCTTTCGCACAACAACAGAGACATCCCCACACTCTCACCCGGTTCTGTGGTTCCTCCCATGGGAGCAGCTGCTGGCCAAGCACATGTGGTTGCCACCACTGCCAGAAACTTCAGAAGGCCACACAGTATGGTTCTCATCCTGTCGTTTCTTCTTGACTCCAGTAGAAATGTAAAGCCCTAGATCAAAGAGAGGAGAAAGTCATGCTCTGCCCTCTGGATTTTTTCCACTCGACACACAATGAACCACATATCCTAAGTTCATACCCATCTAGAACTGCCAATAATAATGGCTTGCATGGATGCAGGAATAGCAAAGGAGAAACATGTTTATATAGACATTGGGACCTGTAGCCAACCATGACTGGCTGCTAGACATTCTCTTTGGAAGGAAAGGGCCGCCAGCAGGGATTTCGAATAAGGGACTGATTTGCTAACCATTCCCACAAGAAACTAAGTTCAAAGAAATGCTAATTTATTTCTTGCAGAGCACATGGTTTGCCGTCCTTGCAATTTTACCACTCTTCCTTTGAGAACTGGCTACACTTCATTCAAAGCTCTGGACCAGTAGTTCTCAAACTATGGTCCTCCAGATGTTTGGAAAGAACTGCCTGCATTGGCCTCATCAGCTAGGACTTTCAGGAGTTGAACTTCAAAACATCCAGAGCAGCACTGCTTCTTAAACTGTGGGTTCCAGCCACAAATGGGGTTCCCTTAGCTCAGTTGGCAACAGAAAAGGTTTCAGACATTTATATGAATCTGTTAGCAACCATGAGCAGCATTTACAGTGGGCTCTGAAGAAAATGCTTCAACTGTACTTCATAAAAAGGAAAACCAACTTGTTTAGCAAGTTTTGCCAATACTGATGTGTTATCAGGCAATGTTTGATTTTGACATCTATTTTTACACATATATACATGGGGTTGTGTAAAGGATCTAGACAAGGCATGGGCAAACTTTGGCCCTCCAGGTGTTTTGGACTTCAACGCCCACAATTCCTGGCCTCAGGCTCTTTCCTTTCCCCCCTCAGCTACTTAAATGACTGAGGGGGGAAAGGAAGAGACCTGAGGCCAGGAATTGTGGGAGCTGAAGTCCAAAACATCTGCTTAAGCAGCAGAAGGGGGAAAGGAAGGGGCCTAAGGCCAGTGATTGTGGGAGTTGAAGTCCAAAACATCCGCTTAAATGGCTGAGGGGGAAAAGGAAGGAGCCTGAGGCCAGGGATTGTGGGAGTTGAAGTCCAATACATCAGCTTAAACAGCTGAGGGGGAAAAGGGGCCTGAGGCCAGGAATTGTGGGAGTTGAAGTCCAAATCATCTGCTTAAGCAGCGGGGGGGGGGGGGGGGGAGGGGCCTAAAGCCTGTGATTGTGGGAGGTGAAGTTCAAACACCCATTTAAACGGCTGAGGAGGAAAAGGAAGGAGCCTGGGGCTAGGGATTGTGGGAGTTGAAGTCCAAAATATCCGCTTAAATGGCTGAGGGGGAAAAGGAAGAAGCCTGAGGCCAGGGATTGTGGACGTTGAAGTCCAAAACATCTGCTTAAGCAGCTGAGGGGGGAAAGGAAGGGTCCTGAGGCCAGGAATTGTGGGAGTTAAGTCCAAAACACCCTGAGGGCCAAAGTTTGCCCATGCCTGATCTAGAGGACTATATTTTGAGGACCAAATGTGAGTGGTGCTCTCTGGACTGGGACCAATCCCTGAGGCATGAGCTGTCAGTTCCTGGCAAATGACCAGGAAACAAAGGAACAATGCCAGCCAATGGGGCCTATTATGGTGGTTCCCTGGTCCAATGGAGGGAAGTAATAGCTCGGTCCCCTGTATCAAATAGACCGAGAAGTGCAGCTGGACCAGGGGGCCCTTCGCGATGGGCATCAGGATGTTGGGCCCTGCCTCTCTGCTTCCCAAGAGAGCAGGAAGATTCTGCCACCTTTTCCCCTTTCTGCCCAAATCTCAGAGGGACATCTTTGGTTGTGAGCCTGGGTGGCTGCTCCAGGGCAGCACAAGACAAACAAGAGGGGAGAGCCTGGGGAACCTTAGGACCGGTAAACGAGGAGGGAAAACGAGGGGAAGACGGTGGCTTCATGGGAAGATGCTGCGAGCAGGGCAGTCCCTTCAAGGCGGCGCACCGGGGAGAGTCAGGCCGAGGAGCTCTCCCTTCCCAGGGATCTTGCTCTTTGGGATCTGGGTCACCTTCCCGGGAGGATTCGGATTTTTTTTCCCCGTGTCAGGAACAACTTGAAAAACTGCAAGTCGCTTCTGGTGTGAGAGAATTGGCCGTCTGCAAGGACGTTTCCCAGGGGAAGCCAGGATGTGTTGATGTTTTCCCATCCTTGTGGGAGGCTTCTCTCATGTCCCACTACGGGGAGCTGGAGCTGACAGAGGAAACTCACCCGCGCTCTCCCCGGATTCGAACTTCCGACCTGTCGGTCTTCAGTCCTGCCGGCACAAGAGTTTGACCCATTGCACCACCGGGGGCTCCTTTCGGATGCCATTTGGAAGGACACGGGGGGAAGTCTTGCGCCTGGAGCGAGGCGCGCGTTTCAAGGGCGAAACGGAGTAAGTTCCCAGCCAGGCGGAGCGGAGGAGATGCGAGAGAGTGAGTGAGAGGACCAGGGGAAGGAAGGAAGAGCTCCCCGGTCTCCCAGGTGGTTTAATCTTTAATCCCACGATCTCAAAGGGGGCGGAGGGGGGGGGGGAGCAAAAGACCTCTGGTAACAGATTGACAGACCTTCCCGGTCAAAGTCCGCCCAGGGAAGAGGGCTCTCGGCCCCGCCACGCCCCGGGGAGCCTCCTGGGTCGCCAAAGGTACTCTCCAGCCACACCGCCCGAGAAGGCAGTCCCAAACTATAAGCCAAGGGACGAGGCAACCCGAGTGAGTCCAAGGGCCACCAAGCTTTAACCGCCCCCCCTCCCCTCCGCTGCACCAAACCCGGCCCGAAGGCGCCCTCCTCACCTCCTCCTCCGCCTTCGGCTGCTGCTGGTGCTGCGGCTCCGGCGTCCCGCTAACTCCTGGAAGCTGGGGCTGCGGAGAGGCGCTCCATCCTCAGCTGGCCGGCCAAGGGAGCGAGGCGCCTCCCGCGCGGAAAGGGAGATCGATCCGGAGGAAGAGAGGTTTTTTCCCCCCACCTCTTTCTTTCCCTGCCCTGGGAGGCGGAGAGAGCCCCAAACGCGCGCCCCGAGGGTCCCGGCTCCCTTCCCTTGCGCCCTTCTGCCGAAGTCGGCAAAGGCGTGGGGACTTTGTAGCCCCAGGGCTCGGGTGACACCCCCCTCCTTCCCTCTCTCTCTCCCTCTCTCTCTCTCTCTCGCCTTCCTCCCTTCCCCGCGCGCGGACCCCAGCCAACAATGGGCCGCCAAAAGAGCCAGCGAGGGAGGGGGCGGGGCCCGAGGGACTCCCCGCCCCGCCCCGCCCCCAGGGCCCCTCCTTCCCTCCCTGCGCGGCAGCCCCTCCCCTCCTCCACCCCCGCCCCCCCCGCCCCCCCCCCAGCGCCTTTTCACACTCACATTAGCTAAATTCTCTCCCCCAAAGCTCCGGCAAAAGGGATTAGGCCGAGTTCATTCCCTGCTGCCCTCGCTGGGCTTCCTCTCCCGCTCGCCCTGGAAACCGGAGAGACCAAACCAGGAGCTCTTCCTGGGGAAAGGCCACAGGGTTTCTCAACCTTCCCAATGCCGCGACCCCTTAATACATACAGTTCTTCATATTGTGCTGACCCACAGCCATAACATTGTTTTTGTTGCTGTAATTTTGCTACTGTTATGAATCGTAATACTAATACCCGATATGGAGGATGTGTTTTAATTCACTGGGCGAAATTTGGCACAAATACCCAATAAACCCAAATTTGAATACTGGTGGGGTTGGGGGAGTTGATTTTGTCATTTGGGAGTTGTTGTTGCTGGGATTTATAGTTCACCCACAATCAAAGAGCATTCTGAACTCCACCAGTGAAAGAATTGGGCCAAACTTCCCACACAGAACCCCCATAAACAACAGAAAATACTGGAAGGGTTTGGTAGACATTGACCTTGAGTTTTGGAGTTGTAGTTCACCTACATCCAGACAGCACTGTGGATTCAAATAATGATGGACCTGGACCAAACTTGGCACGAATACTCAATATGCCCAAATGTGAACACTGGTTGAGTTTGGGGGAAACAGACCTTGACATTTGGGAGTTGTAGTTGCTGGAATTTATAGTTCACCTACAGTCAAAAAGAATTCTAAACACCACCAACAAAAGAACTGGGCCAAACTTCCCACACAGATACTGTGTTTTCTGATGGTCTTTGGTGACCCCTCTGACACCCCCCTTGCAACCCCCGCAGGGGTCCCAACCCCCAGGTTGAGAAATGCTATCTTAAAGAAATGATATCATTTATTGTTTTATTTCATTTAATACCCCGCCTTTCTTCCCTTCAGGGAATTCAAGGTGGTTTACAACTGCGGTACCATTCAATAACAGTAAAATCTAACAGTAAAAACAATAACATACCCCCGCCATTAAAACACTTAATAATTAGTTAATAAACACATTCAAACATATAAAGTGCCTAGTTCCAGTCATCCAAAATCCTTGTTCATAGTCCATATTCAAACCGTGTCAAAGCCCATAGTCATTTATATGTGCAAAGCCATGTCTTTAACTTTTTTCTAAAAACTAGAAGGGATGAGGCCTGCCTGATGTCACTGGGGAGGGAGTTCCACCACTGAGAAGGCTCTGTCATCCCCACCAATCACACCTGTGAAGAGGGTGGGACCAAGAGCAGAGCCTCCCCAGCCAATCTTAAAGTTCTAGTAGCCTCATAAAAGGAGACATTTAGACAGGTAAATTGGACCAGAACCATTTAGGGCTTTATAGGCCAAGACCAGCACTTTAAATTGAGCTCAGTAGCAAATCGGCAGCCAGTGGAGCTGATTAAATAGGACAGTAGTATGCCCCCTGTATGCCGCTCTGGTTAGAAATCTGGCTGCCACGCATTGGACTAATTGAAGCTTTCGGGCCTTCTTCAAAGGCAACCCCATGTAGAACGTGTTGCAGTAGTCTATGCTAAGTGAAAGGATAGGCAAAAGAAAGTGGAAAGAGTGTGGGGTAGAGAGGGTGATTTGTTGCAAAGGGCCTTTTTTGCCTGAAGATGAAAAGGCAGATTGTGCCCCCTTGGAACTCCCTGCTGTGTATGTTCAGATGACTGGTTCCCAACCTTTTTTTTATTATTATCAGGTACCACTTGACCAGGGACCACTTTAACCAGGGACCACTCAAACATTAGTACCAAAAGGGTTACAAATCAGTTTTTGGTCAATTTTAAATTTGGTTTACTTATTTGGGGTGCTGATTCAGAAAATTGCATTGGATAGGCCACATCAGCTCTAGTTTCTGATGCAGAACATAGGCCATCCATTAATCGCCATCTGTTCGCCAACAGAAAACCATATTTAATAAGCCTCATCACTATAAGAGCGTTTCATGAGACCAGCCACTCTCGTTGCAATGGGGTAGTAATGGTGAGGACCATATTTTAGTTCTCCCGGACCATTGGTGGTCCACAAACCACAGGTTGGGAACCACTGGTTTAGATAAACTTCATTTGGGCTACTATGTGCCTTGAAGTGGTACATCTACTGCAGAATTAATGCAGGCAGACATCGCTGTCACAAAGGACTACCACCCAGGCCCGTAGCCAGGATTTCAATTTGGGGGCGGGGGGGGCTGAGTTTGTTTGGGGGGGGACTGAGTCTGAGTGAAAGAGGGTCTACCCTAGCAAACCTTTTGTATCATTACCCCAATACCCCCATGCATATGGGATATATTGAGTATGGTGATCAGATCATGATATGAATAAACATAACAGTTTAAATATTGCACCAGTAAGGCCTTTTCGCGAACCACCATGAGAATTTCGGGGGGGGGGGGGGGTGAAGCCCCCAAGCCCCCCCCCCCCCGGCTACATGCCTGCTACCACCCCACTCGCCTCATAGGAAATCTACAAAACAGGAGCTTTTTTGTTGAATTCCACGGCCAGAGAAGCAGATGGTGAAAACAGAAGAACGGCATCGTAACTATCAGTGTTCAGGATGACTTCAACATGCCAGTCCCCTTGAAAGCAATTTTCTAATCTGGATTTCAGAACATCATCCCAGCTGTGAGATAGATGTAAGGCATGGATATGTGTCACATGCATTTACACACACATTCCCTCCGCTGGGAAATTGGGAAACCAATATGCCTTTGAACATTGCATTCAGCGGAGCCCAGATAACTGCCTTACTTAGCTTAATGGGAAGACTTGTCACAGATGACTTGTTTCAAATGTATGCCAAAAATCATTATGGGAACGTGAAGTTAGAAGCAGCTGCAGGAGTTGGGAGGCAAATAGTTAATCTGTATTCTGACAGCTGCAGATGGACACAGCTAACTGATTCTTTCTGCGAGACCCTCTGTAAACCCAGCTAGAAATTTCAGGCTGCACAAAATTATGGTTGGGATGTTATGATGGTGGGGGAGAAGTACCCAGATGTTGGTTTCATGCAAAGAACAGAGCTTTAAAAATAATGTTTGAGAACAGGAAAAATAGTATTTCAGAGCATGTACAGAATACTTCTCATTTACCCCTAGCTATCATAATGATATACCAGCTTTCTTACAACCTGGCACCTTCCATAAGTGATTATGAAGTAGATCAACTGGAGATGATAGCAGATAAATCTAATATATTTGTCTGGATAGGTGGGTTTGCCAGATTGCAGAAAGGCTGATAGGTACAACTGAGGGTCCATCTACACCAGTGGTTCCCAACCTTTTTTTGACCAGGGACCACTATGGCCAGGGGCCACTCTCCAACATTAGTACCAAGAGGCTTATGAATCAGTTTTTGGTCAACTTTAGATTTGGTTTGGTTATCTGGGGTGCTGCTTCAGAAAATTGTATTGGATAGACCACATCAGCTCTAGTTTCTGATACAGAACAAATGCCATCCAGTAGTCTCCATCTGCTCACCCACAGAAAACAATATTTGATAATCTGGAACTGATGTGGTCTATCTAATGCAATTTTCTGAATCAGCACCCCAAATAACCCCATGAACAGGCTTCAAAATGAAGACATCAAGGCACCCCCACTTCCAGGCACCACATGAAATTGTTCTGCTCAGGAGGAGGGAGGAGGAAGGGAACCAGCAATCAGAAGGCTTGTTGTTGCTTTCGTGGGTAGTCAGCCTCTCCCCTCCAGATACAACGGTGTAGTAACTGTGAGTTCCATGGACCACTGATCTACATTGTAGAATTAACATCGTTTTTCATTACTTTAATTGTTGTAGCTCAATGCTATGGAATCTTGGGATTTGTAATTTGGTCAGGCATCGGCACCTTTTGAGAAAGAAGGCCCTTGTAAAACTTCTATTCCCATAGCACTGAGCCCTGGCAATTAAAGTGGCGTCAAACAGCATTAATTTTACAGCATAGATGCAGCCTCTGGCTGACTATTAGAAGAGAAGGTGTGGTTTTCAGGTTGCATTGACCTCTGTCCCCCTTTCTTAAACTAGTGTTACGAAATGCCCCTCCAATCTGCAGCTCCGTGCATAGCAAAGAAAGATCTGCCTGCTTTTCTGCCTGTCACAAATCCATACAGCAGTCAACCAATGCCTCTATTTCAAGATCCTGAAGAGTCTTTAATTTTAAAATGTAGTCAATTTAAAAATGTAGTCCAGCTCCCCCAATCTGGAGGACAGCAGTATGGGGGAGCCTGTTTTAAGACAGTCACAAGCATCTTTGTTGTTTTTACTGCCACAAATTAACACAAGCCATCCCTCTCCGGAAACACTTTGTGTCCTCAAGTTCTACGAAAAGGAAAATGGCCCAGCCCCAGCATAATAAAAACAGGGAGTTCAAATGCCTTGGGGGGGGGGGGGGGGGGGGGGGGGGAGTGTGAAGATGGCAAGCTCTCCACCTCCTTTTGAAAAAGGCGAAGAGGCCTTCCCTGAGGCTCAGTCACACAGGGAAGCATTTGGAGGAGCCAAGTTGTCTGTGCAGGTTATCACCATGTGAGGAAGGTTATCCGCTGGGAGGAATGTTTGCCTCATCACTCTTCCAGCCAAACAGCCAAACAATAAGCTATCCATT